CTCTCTCTCTCTCTCTCTCTCTCTCTCTCTCTCTCTCTCTCTCTCTCTCTCTCTCTCTCTCTCTCTCTCTCTCTCTCGTACACACGCTTATACCCACACACTTACGGTCTATCGATATGATAAGTAAAACGGAAGGAATCTTCCGCTGAAAGGTGGAAATAAACATTGCCACTTTTTGATTTGACTCATTCCATCGTTCCAAGTAGCGTGCAGCGAGTCGTGGGGCTGGAGACTTATAGGCTCTCTCTCTTTCTTTCTCTCTCTCCTCCTCTCCCACTCTCTCCCCTCTCTCTCACGTAGTTCGCAGATACTGAGAAGTAAGGTAGGGAGAGGGTGAAGAAGAGATGGTGGACTGTGAAGAGAAAGAAGAAGAACTCTCTCTCTCTCTCTCTCGCACGTATGCACACTCACACACATATGTAGGGCGTGGTAATGTACATACCCACGTTTTAGATGTAGATTCATTCGATTCGGTTTATTTTTTTATTTTTTTATTTTATTTTTTTTATATATATTCCTATCGATATACCATGAGGTAGGCTATGAGGTTAAATGCTTACCTATTTCTCTATATCGCTCCCTCGTCGTCGTCGTTGTCTCTCGAAGTCGTCAGTCCGTCATCGCAAGTGCATCTCCTTCCCCGTTTCTTCACGAGGATCTCACAACCACGGCACGGGGCGCTACAGACACCGGCTTGCTTCCCATCAGACGAACCAGGCGGACGTCAGGTAAGTCGCCCTTCGTCTCTCTCCTTTTCCTCCCCCTCTTATCTCCTTCCTCTTCTTCCTCTTCTCTTCTACTATTCTTCTTCTTCTTCTTCACCTGGTTCGTCTTCTTCCTCCTCCGCGCGGCCGCTTCTCCTATTTGCCAGCTTGCGCTACCTCTCCCGCGTGCGCTCGCTTCTCTGTGCAGTCTTCCTTCTCGGTTCCTCGCGCTATCTCCCCCTCACTACCACCGCGCGCCCTCTCCACCGTTCTCCTCTTCGCTCCCCGCTTGCGCGCCTTCTCCTTCTACTCCCCTCCGTTTCTTCTCCTTGCTCTATGGTAATCACACTTCTGTTTCACCTGCTATCTTTCTCCTATCCCCTTCTCTCTATGTGCACCCTCCGCTTCACTTTTCTCCTCTTTTCCTACCACTAGTTTCGTTTGCCCGTCGCGTGGCGGTCGTCTCCTTCCATTCGTAGTCGTTTCTCCACCACGCTAGTCTTCTCCCCTGCTCCTCGCTGGATCGCACGGGCTGCAGTCGGGGCTCACCCAGCAAGTGTACCATGAACCGGGTTGAGCTAAATCTTTCAATGAATCCACGACAGATTCAACGGGACGAAACGTATCCAAATCTCGTACAAGAGAAAGTAATAATAATAATAATAATAATAATAGTAATAATAATAATAATAATAATAATAATAATAATAATAATAATAACAACAAAATTTAACAAAATTATGAAGAACAAGAAATCAAAACCAAATCTACTACCTACCCCGTTTGCTTGAATCCGTCTCAGTTTCACGGCCAGATTCATCGAAGTGAAACTGCCGCGGGACGGAAAATAAGTCAACTGAAAATATGAATAAAAGTAAATCTAGTAAGATCAAATAAATAAATAAATAAATAAACAAATTTAAAAAGAAGAAAGAATCTAACGACAAACTACCCCGTTATTCCACTCGTCGTGCCAGTACTACAAAGGGGTCTCAAAACGATCCAACTATAACGACCAACTACTCTATTCTAATTGTGAAGACACGCGTTCGAGCCCCGGCTCTCTCGGTCCGGGTAAACAAAAGTAGAACTCCCTTTAAAAAGGGAGCTAGCTCAGCGGGCGATAGCTGGACTCGATGCCTACACCTTGAGCTTGACAGTCCAGCACCCTAACCTACTAGGCTAGCTCCCACTTCGAGTAAAAAGGGAGCAGCTTAGTATATAAACAGTAGTGGGGCTCAGTCCAACCCGTGGCCTGAGCCCGTTTTTCCTAAGTTAGTGTGTGTGTAAGCTTGCAGGTTGGTGTGCCTGTCTGAACGTTTGTCGGCCTGAGTGTGTGTGCGACCCGTGAGGGCACTTAGTAGGAGGGAAGGCCCGAAAGGCCTACACTTAGATCTAGCCACGACATTAAGGGTCGTGTCGGGGAAATACTGTAGTGTTAGGTATGCCGGTGTCGCCCAAATAGTGGTAGATGCGTGGGGAACCGGCCGCCGAGCAGAAGAAAACAAAAGTTGACATTTTAAGAGGTCCGGTACTGTTAGGTAGGTGGGTTTTAGGTCAAGTATTCTCAGTCTAGACCCCGTGCGGATGATATCAGAATTTGCAACGGTGTCTCCCTCTGCAGAGGGACGAAGGCACCGCTCGCTAGGGTAGTCATGCGGTCAGGAAGTCACCTCCCTAGGGCGACTCCCTTTCTACCTACGGGAGGCTGAGTTAAAGTACCAAGCGCGCTTACTGTGCACATGAAGGATAAAGGTATCGCTCGAGCAAACGTCAACAATCGGGCGCTACCTCAACCCTGATAATCATACGCCAATAATCGCTCCGGTTGTACGACCGCGCGCGCATTAATTTATTCTGACTAATGTACTTATGATTGAGTCTCATCGTACATCGTAGATCTACTTGTCATAACATCAACCCTATCGACCCCTCAACCTCTTCGGTCGAGGGGTATTATTACAGATCCCAATCTTCACAGCGTGCGTCATAACAACGCGCGCGCATACTTAAGGAAATTTTCTCACCGATTTTGCCCTGGTCTCAATGACCGAGGAATTCGTTTCGAGTGTCACGCTCAAGCGTGCACACCCTTTCCATTCTAGATTGGCTTTGTCATGGTAGCCGACGCCGTCACCGTGTCGAATGCAAAAGCATGGCCAAATACCCTTGTAAGGGTATTTGGTCCGACAGTATCCCTGACCCCATTAAGCGACGTCCTCGTTGCCCGGAGAACTATATGCAAATAAAAGATGTTTTCCGACAAGCAAATCATCAAATCCGAATCCTGGAATGAAATGTGGTTTCAGCATTGACGCCGTCACCTTACTTTTCATTATTACTGCCGGGATTTTAACCCGGGTCTCCCACATAAAATAAATTTAACTCGAAGTGGGGATACTTGATCTGTACTACAGTACATGAAATAGTTAAGTATGACAACGCACCTTTCCTTCCCCTACACCCTTAGTCTTTGGCCCAGGTATTCGTTTGTTGTTTTCAGGGTCGGTGTCCGCGTGCGAACTCAACACGTCAAACGAGGGTCCTAACCGAGACCTTGGTATTCAACTCTTGATATCATAATCCAAAGTTGTCTGTCGTCCTGCCCGAAGCCTAATACAGGAGGACAACGGTCTCCATCCTGACCCACCACAGTCCTGCTGATCAGACCGGAGCTGCGGCCCACCTCGTTGTTGCTTATCAGTGGTTACCCTTGTTGGTTGCCCAACGAGGGGATATTCATCCTATCTTTAAAATTTTCTAATCTCGACCCCTTCGACATCCACCTGAATAGATCCTTTCATTGGGGTGACCACCCCTCTAGTTTCTCTTCTAGGCCATAGTCGAAGGGTCCGTCGCCTGGTTATGCTAGGTCAGCAGCCCACGCTGGGAGTTACGTCCCAACGATGCCAAATTTTCACCATAGGCTTGGTAATTTATGCCCTCAGGTTAACCCTTGAGGTGGATGAACGATGTTTTTTAAATAAACCAAATAAATGAGATTTCCAATAATTGAGCATTTGTCAGACTGCCACTCAGGGTTGTGCCCTCCAAGTCTTTGATCATAGCTTGGTGAGGCACGCACCTCGGGGTCACTTTGTATATATATAACCATTATGTATATATATATATATATATAACCATTATTTTTAAAATAGACTTTTATTGACTCTTTGCTTGTCATAATCCACAAAAATAAAACATCAGTTTCATAAAGATTTTTGAAAAAAAATTCTGCAACAGAAATAATAAGACTCAAAAGAGTCTACCCATGTCGTAGCATGGTTTCAAACAGGAAATATACAATCAATCCAACTTTTGAAGCTTCATAAACTCATCAAACTTTTCACATGAGATACAGATCTGCCTATTCTTCTATCACCTCTTTAGGTCTCAACAGAATCTTAGTAGTGATAGACGAAGGGAGATCTTAGGTTATCAGAGACTCAACCAAAGACAAAGGCCCACACACAATGTGACAAGTGTGTCATGTTCGCCAGCTCATTCCCCTGAATAATATATATAAATACAAGTAGGTCACAGAGTCAGATCACCATTCCCCTCTACTATCCCTCAAACACTGCTCATGTCATTTCCTATATTACTTTCTATGCTAAGTCTCCTCATCTGACTGAAGAAAAGCACACAACTTGTTTCATTCCTGTCTTTTATGTCCTACTGAAGTAGAAAATACACATCCCCTTGCTCTAATTTACACCTTTCTCTCTTTCATAACTGTCTTTTTAAGCCGATTCAAGTCATAGTTTACTCAAAACATCTACCTATTCCTACCTAGAAATCAACTGGCAGTCCCGGTATCTTGTGAAGTGCTACCCTGCCTCCCTCAGGTATCCTGAGAATGGTCTGCCCTGTACCGGTCACCAATCTCTTATGACTATCATATTTGGCTTTTGAGGTGCCCTTCTTGAGTGCAGAAGAAACATCTCTGTCCAACCATGCTAGGCTTGATTTTCTTTATGTCTGGTTGGATTAAAGTTTTAGCCTGTTCTTTAGTCACCTTTGGTGAGTGCAACTGGGATTCCCTTTGCCTTTTACCTTGTCCTGGCAGAGGTATAGCCACACTCTCACCCTTTTCCTTTTTGGGTGCAGGAAGCTCCTCTTTCTTCTTCTCAGTATGTGCCCCTTTCTCTTCACCCCCTTTTCTTCCCACCATCTTTGTGGCTTCCTTCTCTTTCCCCTGTTGACTCAATCTGGATTTTTTCATTCTTCTCAATATCTTTTCCCATCTTTCCTCCCACTCTTGTCCCAACTTCTTTCTTTCTGAGATTTCATCGTCCAAGTCCTGTCCTAGCACACTGACCTCAGAAACCAGACCATCCACCCTTATTTTCATCTTAGCTCTTGTGTCCACTTCATTTTCCAGTTCTCTGCTTTGCACATTCAGGGAGACCCTTAATTGTCTCATTTTTTTTTGCAATTCCTCCTTCTCTTTCTTCAATTCCCTTACTTCCTTCCTCATTTCTTCCATATCTCTTATCAACTTCTCCACCTGACCATCCTTCTCATCTTCCTTCTTTCTTATCTCACTTGTCTCTTCCTTGTTCCCAATCGGCCTCTTTCCCTCAGTTCTCTTAACTTTGGGAGCCTTGCCTCCTCCTTGGACCTTCTTTCCTTCCCCAACTTCCTCTACTCCTTCCCCCTTTTCACTCACCCTTTCTTGTATCTCTCTTCTTCCACTCTTAATTGCCCTTCTCTTTCCAAGTTTCTTCTTCCTTGGTACCATACTGGCCCCCATGCTTTTTTTCCTCTCCTCTGCTGCCTCCTCCTCGTCCTGTTCATTTCCCTCAGCCTGCTCAGATTCCTTGCTGCTGCTCTTGGGGGAGATCCTTGCCTTGTTCTTTAACACTTTCAGAGGTACATTATCTTCTTCTTCGTTCTTTTCCTCCTTCCCCTGTGGCTCAGTCACCCCTCTTCCAATCCATAACCCCTTCTTTTGCAGCCTTTCCTTTCTTGTCTGGTCTTGCATGACCTGGGTGTAGGCTATCCACAATTCTGCCGTTATCCTTTTCCAGGTTCGACTCTCTTCCACAATTCCTCTTACTTCCTCCTTTTCGCCTTTGTCTGATCTTGTGATCAACTGCTTTCTTTTTCCTCCTCGCTCCATTCGCCCCTTTCAGCGGCCAGCTGCAAGCTCTCAACAAAGTCTTCCTGATTGGTCCCATCAAACCTTAAATCATCCTCCACATCATCCCTTGGGAATTCGTCCATGTCTCTCCATAGTCTCACCTTGCATACTTTCCACCTTGTGCAACATGCCACCACTCCTTCAATCCTCCTTTTGTACATTCCTGCTCCTTTCACGTTCGCAATCCTTTCCATGTCACCCCATTCTCTCCTGAACGCGTACTCCTCAAGGTCTCGCAGGAAAACTTTCAGCATGTCTCCAGCCCTGTAAATGGGCAGCTCTTCCAGGTTCCTTGAGACTCTCAGCTCCCTTCTCTGCCCTCCCTTTCTCAAGGCAAGTCCAGAGGTCCCTGCCATTGCTCCTTTCTGCGTCATGGCCTCTTCTTTCCAAGGGTCACGCCTGCATACAGAGAAGGAGCAATTGGTAAGGGACGAGGGTCAGATTATGATCAAGGCAACATTCCTGGTTAAACACAAGTTGACAATGCCCCCCCCTTTATTGGGTACTTACATACACGTCCACATACACACATATATATATATATATATATATATATATATATATATATATATATCATTTATACATATATATATATACATATATAAATACATGAGCGTATATACACACACATATCCCCACTTATACCCCTCTGCATCCATTTATGTACACATACATACATATATATATATATATATACGCATGTATATATTCATATATGTATGAGCACAATCTTGGGCAATTGGGTACATATCTGTTCTGGAACCGATTCACCTATGCATGCCTAAATACCTTCCCAATCTATCCAAGTTTTCGTATCGTAACTGAGCTTACCTCTTCTCTGACTTGGAATTTTTTCAGTCTAGGTCCTGAGACCCAGTCCTTCCTTGGAGTCCCATCCATCTCTTCTAGCTCATATGCCCCATGAAGTCCCTATCTCCTGACTTTGAATGGTCCTAGCCACCGTTTGTCCAATTTTCGCGACCACTGCATTTCCAGCGAGGAATCGTAGAGAAGTACTATCTCGCCAACTTGTAAAGGTTCGAGTCTTACTCTAGGTCGCTTGTCTCACCTTTCCTTATCCTTTCCTCTACTATCTGCAACGTTCATGGATGTTCATGCACCCTTTCTTCAGTGACGCTGATCTGCCTTGCCCTTAGAACTAGCAGTTCCTCCAAAGTTAAGTTGTTCTCCAGGTCCTGCCTGCGCCAAGTCTTCAGGAAGCTTTCATTAGGAAATGTGCCGTGACGCCCATACCAGAGTGTTGCCGGTGTATACCCGGTCGTCCTTTTTACAGTAATGTTCTCTACAAAGAACACTGTTCTTAGGAACTTTGGCCAGAGATTCGGCTTCCCACTGGTCTATTTGGCCAGTAAGTTAGTAATTGTGCTAGGCCTCTCTCAACTGGTGCATTCGCCTGTGGATGAGCCCGAGTCATATAATTGTCATTGACCCCCAATTCCTTCAGCAATTCTTTCACTTCCCCACATGTGAACTCAGACCCCTGTCCATTGTGAATTCCAATACGAAAGGATATCTGAGATAATATTCCTTAATACAATCTGCCAGCGTTGTTCCGGTCTTGTTCCTGATTGCTCTGCCATCAACGAATCCTGTAAGGATGTCCCTGGCGTCAAATATATAGTTATATCCTCCAAGACCTAGTGGCATAGCCAGTAGATCCAGGTGAACAACCGCCCCTACTTCCTTGATATATCTAGGATGCAGGGGTTCCTTGTACCTGATAGGCGATCGAATTTGACAGGGTACATATGACTCACAATATTTTTGCGTCATCTCAAACATCCCTTCCAAGTAATAGAGCTCCATCGCCTTTTTGTAAGTAGCCGCGAAACTCCGATGTCCCCCGACCATCTCATCGTAAAATGCAGCTACTACGTCAATCTGACGATTCCTCCCACATACGACACGTCGCGGCGGCCCTCTCTTATCCCTGATAAACAAGTGGCCACCTCTTTCACATAGTGGTCTCTCATCCTGAGAGTCTTTTCACTCACTTCTCTCTCTCTTTTATCTCCTGAGAGGAGCAACCCCATTTCTAAATAGAATCCATCATACTCCTCTTCCCTCAATTCCTCTGAAATCTCTCCTTGTTCGAACTCTCCTTCCTTCTCTTCATCAAATTCATAATCATTACCAATAATTATTTCATCAGCCTCCACTATTCCTCCCTCACCATTTGCTTGAACTTGTAATAGTGAATTGGTCAGGTAGTACATCCTTCCCATCATGGCTACCTGCTCGTCTGCCTGTTGGACTCCTGCTTCGATCGTTCGCGGTTCATCCATTATCCTATAGTTTTCTGCCAGAGCCAACTTCATCATCCATTCCGTGTTTCTCTCGCCCCAAGAGTCCTCCTCTTCTAATAGTGTGAGTATTAGGGAAGGTTCTCTCATAAATTCGGGAGGCGGATGCCACATCGGATTTCCTCTCCTCATTTTCTTACTCTCGACAAACATGAACCAACAGTTCACGTGAGTTCGCATGTCTTCCCCTTCGTCAAAAAATCCGTCTACCGGAGGCGTTTCTTCATTAGATTCCCCTTGATTTCCCCACTCAATTCTGCTCATGCCGTCTGCCCTGTTCTTGTTCCCAGGGATCCGCTCCAGCTGGAAGTCGAACATCCATATATAGGTGAGCCATCTGGCTATGGTCGGATCTGAGGGCGAGAAGTTTTTGAGTGAGTATAAAAGCACCGTAGGATCAATCCTGAGCACAAACCTCCTCCCAAAGAGGTAGTGCCTAAAGATCCTTAGGCAGTGCTGGACCGCCAAAGCTTCCTTTTTAAACTGCGAGTAGTTCCTTTCTGCCGAGTTTAGTGTCCTGCTTTCGAACCTCAGCGGCCTCTCCTTTCCTTCAYTGTCTGCCTGAATCAAGACGCCTCCCAAGGCGGTTGGTCCAGCGTCAGTTTCAACTATGAAGGGTCTTTCCATAGTCGCATCAAAGTCTGGTACCCCTAGTACCAGACCTCCTTCCCTGAACTCCTTCTTCAATTCTTCCACCACTTCCTCCTGATGGTTTCCCCATTCCCATTCCTGATCTTTCCGGACTAGCTTCCTTAGATGCTCTGTTTTGTTAGCAAATCTTTCTATGAATCTCCTCCATAACCCACAAATACCAAGGAAACTTCGGACTTCACTCACATTTCTGAAAGGAGTAGGTCATTCCAGAATTTTATTGGTCTTCTTCTTATCAGGGCGCCGACCATGCTGATTGCAAATGTATCCTAGAATGGTTACTTCTTTCACGCAGTGTCTTGACTTCACACCACTGGCGGTGAGGTTGTACTCTTCTAGTAGAGATAAGACTTCTCTTAACCCTTGAACATGTTCCCATACAAACTTTCTCACCCCTGGAGCCACTTCAGACTCATCCTTCTCTATTGGCGCTTTGACGACAAGATCATCTATGTACGGCTCGGTGATCTGAGGGTTGATTGGCTGCATAACCCTGATCATGCTCCGTTGCACCATGGCCACAGCATTGGTCCATCCTTGCGGCGCAACATTCATATGGACTAATTCCTTTGGCGTGTGCATCGCCGTGATGGGACGGTCTGCTGGATAGACCGGAAACTGATCATATCCAGAGTAGAGGTCGATGAGGGACACAATCGACCTACCTGCACAAACTTCTGATAACTGGTCAGCATTGGGTAAACCTCCTGCATCCCTTACAGTTACCGCGTTCAGTCATTGGAGGTCTTGCACCCATCTGAGAACTCCATTTGGCTTTACAAAACAGAACCAGGGAGAGGCATATGGTCCACTGGAGTACCCTGCCACATCCGTGCAAATCTTCCCATGTAGGTACTCTAATACCCTTCTGCGATCCTCAGGGTTGGGATACTTAGCTCCTCGGACGTTCCATGGCTCATGAGGTACAGTATGAATATGAATCATTTCTATCTTTGTCCACATCCAGCCTCCCACGTTGATCATCATTGAAGGCATGAGCCCCATGTTTTTCACGTATCAGTTCTTTTACCAAGTCCTCCTCTTGTCTTGTCAGAAAGTCAGGTTCCCCTATTATTAGTTTTTTCTCAGTCTCATCGTCGATACGACAAGGCCCGTTCTGGATGCCTTCCCTCATTTGCTGTATCAATTCTCTTTCCTGATCATAATACACCCCTTCTTCTTGATTCACTAGAACTGGCATAGGGTGACTCTTCTTATCTACCGTCTTGTACCTCCTTTTGGAGCCCTGCTTGAGCCCACCCCTAAAAAATGCTGACCGACAGCTTGAGCATTTGGCGCATGCGGCACTATTATCTGAGTAGAAGGAGGTGGCCGGTAAACGAGATCGACCCTTCCTCCTTCCGGATCGTCCTGAATTCTTTCAACAAGTGCTCTAATGGCATCCGCGTCAGCCATCTTATAGGCCGATACCAGTTCTACAACATCACTGATATTCGCTAGACTCAATACAAGCCCTTTAGCTTCTTCATCATCTGACTCCTCTTCTTCTCCTTCCCACTCTAGTTCTCTCCTCCTATTCTCCGACTCCTCGAATGTGTAGGATCCAGCATTGAGTCTGTTCTTTGAGCTGTGAGGCCCCGTGTTCCTACAGGTGATCACCTCAAAGTTTCCACAGACAGGGTCACACAGGATGACGAACATGGTGCCGTCGTGTTTGTTCATAATGAGTGCCTCAGATCTGCACAGGAACGACCTTCCCAGTAATATTGGAAGGTCCAAGCTGGGCATGACGTAAAAACACGTACGCACCTTGACTCCTCCTATTTCTATGACCACATTTGATGCGACACCAGTGTATCCGGTCTTGCCACTGGCTCCGTTGAGAAACCCGCAATCATTCTCATCCACTTCCAACCCGAGTTTTACCGCGGTTTCCCCGTTTATAATATTAATTTCTGCCCCGGTGTCAACCATCCTAGGACACATCTTCCCCTTTATCATAATATCAATGGATCCTGTTCCCAGGAACTTCCAGTCCATTTTACTTCCTGCCACGCTCCAGTTAACCTCCTTGGGAATTAAATCCCCCATTTGGACCGAGACTATTCTCCAACCTAGCCTTCACCATCTCTCTTAACTTAGGAGTTGAAGCGAGGATTTCTTTCAGGTTTAATAGTTCATTGTGCCCCTCCAGCAGTTTATTCACCAGGCCTTCCAGATCCACCCCTTCTTCGATCGAGGTTTGGTACTTTTTCTTTTTGCTTGGCCCCGTATCCCCTTTTGAACTTCCTTCCTTAGCTTCGCCTTTCCTTCTCTGAGCCCTTATCTCCGCCTGCCTTTCTTCTTCCTCCCTAATCTTTTCATCCTCATCCTCATCACCCTCTACCGTGATAGGTGGCTCTTCTTCTGCTGGCTGGGAAGCTTGGGCTTGTTTCTTTTGAGGATTCCCTCTTGCGGGTCTTCTTGTAGCGAATGGAATTGTTCCTCTCATACTTCTCTGACTTTCACTATTCCTTGCGGCCATATTGGCTCTCAACATTCTCGGGTTGGGTTCATTTGGCCCATCTCCCGATCCTCCACGTCCCATGGTAAATACTTTCGGGCACCCAACCCTTTTTTTTCCCGCTTCTTCATATATCCCTTGAAGTCTCAAATGCAGCCTTTGCATTTTATTCACCAGATCCTCTATCCTATCAAACGTGTCCCTGACGGTAATCCTAACGTCATCCTCTTCTGCTTCTTCTTCCACAAGGGGTACGTCTTCCTTGCTTCCTTCGATCCCCATCCGGCTCATTTTTTCTTCTAGTTCAGTTACATCTTCCACCCGTACGACCGGTCCTCCCTTTTCTTGCCACATTCTGAACATTCCCGGCTCGTCGGGACCTAGCGCGGCTATGCGAAGGGCCTCTTCTCTAGTGCCTCCCGGAATCTCAGGATCGATCGGCCTTCCTGTTCTGTCAAACACCTTGCCATCTATGTTTGATGTTATGAGTCCATCGCGCTCGTCAAGTTTCCTGACGTGGCATCGCTTTACTGTGTGCCCTTTGATTCCACAGTGGGTACAAATGCATTCGCTGTAGTCTATCCATCCTCTGCCAAAACCCTGTTCGTTCCATGACCCATTTCCTCTACCAAACCCCCTTCCATAGCCTTGGTCGTAACCACGACCATACCCCTGCTGGTATTCTTGCCCTACCGGATTCGCACCCCCTTGGAACTGTCCCCAGTTTCCACCTTGATACCCACTTCCTCTATTTCCTGCTCCTCGTTCCCCTGGTCCCTGATTCCTACCAGCATTCCTACCTCTTCCACGTCCTTGTCCTTGTCCTTGCCCTTGGGACCTGTTCTGGTTTTGGTCATCCTAGTGACTCGATCCTGGTTGGTTTTGCCCTGTTAGTTGAAGTCGTCCCGTGTTTTGGTCTCCTCTCAAATTCTGATTCTGGGGTAACATGGGATATGGACCCTGCGTAGGCCATGGCCCTACCGGGAAGTACCGAGGCCATGCTCCCATAGGCGGACCCACGGGCCATTGACCATATTGCACTGTGCCTGTTGATGGCTCATGTCCATACTGGACTATCGCCTGTTGAGTAACTTGTCCTTTTCCTGAGCCTTGTCCTCCGATAGCGATATTTTTAGCTTTCCTCTGATTCTTGGTCAGTTTGCCCGTTCCTTCGGATTCCCCTTCTTCAGCTTCTTCCTCTCCATCTCCCTCTTCCTTCCTCCTCTTTCCTGATGGTTGTGTCACTGTTAACACTTTCGACGGGGCCATTATTTCCCTAAGCTCTTTTATCTCATTTGCCATATTGTTCAACATTCCTCCAAGTATACTATCCGTTCCTTGGAGCGTCCCTACTGCCTTTCTCTTCTTTCGTTCGACCTTGATTTGGTGATGGAACACTTGGTCCATGTCTCCTGCCGCGATATTTCTTTTGATGGTATTCCAGGTTGTCTTTCTCCTACCGGCTCCTCCTCGAGTTAGTTCCATTGCCTCATACCCAGAGAATTTCCCTAGGAAAATGATGCACTGCATCTCTTCAGACAGCCCCGGGACCCTCTCGGCTGTCTTTTCGAATGTATTGGCGAATGCCCTGATCGTGGTGAAGTCATCTCTGTTCATGTTATAGAGATGGTCAATTGTGAGCAGACCATCTCCTAGCTTAAATGTCTTCTGCATGCCCCTCTTAAACTCAGCCCAATCATTGTTGGACTTTTTCACTACCTCTTCCACGTCAGAGGTGCATTCCCACCATACATATTCGAACAATTGGGCAAACTTCTCGGCTGGGGTCCGCTGGTTGAATATCTGCTCGAGTAGTTCCAACCAATGCGTCACCCTATCCCCTTTGAATGGGAAGATGTCTATCCTTGGTAGGTTAGATCTTTTTATCGTTCTCTTCTCCAGCAAGTTGGCGATTTCCGCTGCGGTGATTGGCGGATCTCCATTGGCGCTGGCTTCGCCCATCTCTTTCCCTTTTTTTCTTTCTTGGTTCCTGCTAGACCGTAGATCCTGTTAAGACACACAAAACGACCATTGATCCACCCTTTTTGTCACTATCTTGACGTAACTCTTTACGCTATATGACTTTTCATACCTCTTTTCTCTCATCCGAGTATCTCTTCTAGGGGCACCCAGTCCCCATGCCAAAAGCTTCTAACCATACCAAATAAAGAAGAGATCTCATTTATAAATTCTTCGATATATGCCTTCCGGCAAAGATTGCGCCAGTAGCTCGAGAGATCTTCCAAACGGTAGATGCGTAGATACGTGTTTACCACGCATAGTATGTTATAAAAATCCCTATTCTCTAGTTTCAGTCCCATCTCTAAGTATAGACGGTAAACAACTTCCAAAGCCTCGAATTCGAAGCCCATCTCTGGAACAGATCGGGCTGCGAGTACTACCCGTTCTACATTCTCAATCCCCCAAAATGCTTCATCAACCATGAAGTTCGGAAGCGTGGCTTTAATGTACCTTGTCGGGTATAAAGGTCAAGGGTCATTCCGGCTATCAACACGTATCTAGAGACGGGGCGGCTTTCTCCTATCGCAAGATTGATCGCGTGTGCCCTCCAGAGAAGGGCTGGTAGATAAAGGGTCACTTTCACTGTTGTCTGCCTTTCCCTTGTAGTCCACCGAGTTTCTATCCAAAGGAAGACTTCTTGTCATATCGGTATTCCGCACCATGACTCCATTTCCTCATCCAAATCTATTGTCCTCTTTGGTAGTGTCATTTTGACTCCTCCTTTCCTTGGCTCTGGCAGGTTGATCAGGAAGCTCCGATCAGCGAACCACATCAAAGGAGCCATTCTAGTATACCTGTTACAACAGCCAAGGAAAGAACCTTTATTTTCGGCTCAATTTCCTCGTCTCTTAACAATTTTCTATCTCAGTCTTCCTTGAGCACCTCTTTCTATTTGATCGAGGATCTCCTGTTTCAGTTCCTCCCAGTAGACATGCCAATTTTTCCAATCATGCTGACGTGCATATGAGTCGACCCTCGACAGTATGCCTCACTGATCTCTATCTTCAATCAATTGCCCTATCTCTAGGTATAGGTAGTATATCAGTAGAGGGGTAGATGAGTGATATTCTTCCTCAGGTATTGCCATCGCGGCTTCAGCAACCCTTTCTTTTCGGGTCCTCCCTCCGAAGGCTGCATTTACAATGAACATGGGAAGGGTTCCTCTCATGTACCCGGCTGGTGGAAGGAACTCACTTGCTTTTCTTACCCTCACTCTTCCTATAACTCTTTCAAATTCATTTAGACTCGCATCTCGTCTTTTAGATTCGAGCGCGGATTCTGCTACCCATAGCAGTCTGGAGAGAGATCGATCAATTCCTAAGACTAAATTTATTAGGATAATTTGTAGCCTTTTTGATGAGAGATACAAGGTAAACTCTTCTATCGCACAATTTTCGCCTCTAACCCATCCAGTCTCAACCCAGATGAAGGTCTGTTCTTCTATAGGAATTCCCCAACAATATCCTGTCTCCTCGTTCTCCTCATGGCGACTTGGTAGGTTCATCATAAGGCCACGCCTCATTGGCATGGGTTCCCTGACCGTGATTTGATACCAGGCTGAAGCCATCTTCTTTTCTTGTCGGTACACTCCTCCTACTACACAACACAAACCAGCCCACATCCCTTTTCATTTTAGCTAGTAGGTTTATAATCCCAAGATCTGACTGATTTCCTATTCCATTCTATCATCCCCTTCGATCCTTTTGAACCTTTATATAATCTTTTTGTACAGCAAGTACGTTACTAACCCCCAGATCTCTATTTGACATAGTAGAAATATTAAAAGCGATATGCACATCCTCCTATCAGGAGACGCAGACTGCGCAACCACAGGAGGATCAGGCATGTTTGGTGTCCGCGGGGCCCTTGTTGGTGAGGCGTGGGAAGGACAGCCAGTTGCCTCTCTTGATATGGTGGGTAAGGGCTATAATACGAACGACCAGGCAGCTCGAAGCGTGGCGGAGATTCCCCGTAACGCCTTGCGTACCTATACCAATAGTAAGCCATCTCATCAGGGTCTGGGTATGCATGCGCCTCTCGTCCCGGTACTGTCTCGCCCTTAACCCTTCATCCTTCTCCTTTAGCCCTTCATCATCTTTCCTATCTCTGGTCAAGTCCACAGGCCTTTCAGGCGCCTTCCCCTGTCTGCCGCCTCTTCCTCTACCGGTTCCGGTCCCACGGCCCTTAGGTGCCATATCCGCTAACTCTTAGTATAAGTAACAATCGTACTTATGTGTATTTAATCCCTATTTTACACACCGATTTACTTGGAGCAACTAATCGTCACTCGTTATTAGAATCTCTTAGTTAATTACTGACTCTTTAATAATTGT